AAACATGCAAGTTTTTGTCATTAATTAAAGAATAATTTTGCTTAAATAAAATGAAACATTTAAAGTTCTTCCCCAATTCTCAAAAATTGGGATTAAACATTTTTTTGACCCTGTAACTCTAAGCGCTCTCTATTCTAATTCTATTCTTTAAAAAAACTTGCCCCTTTTAGACTTAACCTCTATTCATTTACTAACTGCTTGTTTTCTTTAAAGAAAAAAACTAACACTAGCTTCTCTATTCTCTTTGTATTCTATCTATTTGTTTAATTTGTATTTATACAATTAACAAAAAGCAAAAAAAAAGGCCTCTAACACTAGCTTGCTCTGTTCTTTTTCTATTCTATCTGTTTTCTTTTTATTTATTATACAATAAAAAAAACCTTGCTACATGTACTGCGTTAGGCTAACTGAGACTTGTTATAGCACTTGCATATCTTTGCTCTTTTGTTGATTTTGATTGCTTCCATTGTCCTCATTTGTAAGTCGCTTTAGATAAAAGCATCTGCTAAATGACTAAATGTAAACCTAATTCTGTTTAATCCAAAGAAATGACTAAATATAGCAAATTAAATCAATTCAAGTTATTTATTCCTCTGTGTAGATCTTAAATCTTTATGGAACCCAAAAGTTTTTGCTATTTTTACAAGCCACAGAATCAGTCCCTCCCCGTCTGTCATCGTGTCCCGCTCACCTTCTTGGGACACTCGTCAGCAATGGGTCCGATGCAGGCCTGCATGCACGCCGCTCTGGGATAGGTGGCATCATACACCCCTCTCCACGGCGTGACAGGACGGGGCGGTTTCCAGCGGGACGCCGCCACAGGAGGATCGGCGAATGGGATCCCATAAAACACATAGGACTTGTCCAGCGTCAGGCCCTGGATGAGCCCGTCTTTAGTCAGCAGCTTGGGTCCGGCAGCAGCAGTCTGTGGGCCGGTGAGCGGCTGATCTCGGATCAGTGCTGCTGAAGAGATGCTGCGCAGTAAAGTTACTAGCTCCATCTGATCATCTGAAGCAGATCCAGTGCTGATGAACACAGACACCACCATAAACAGATCCAAAACATGCATATTTACTCCTGCTGCTTCACTTCGCTCCGGTCGGGATGGACTGATGCACGCTGGTCCGAAACTGGATGGACGATTGCTCAGTTTGAGCTTCTTCAGCACTTGTGACTCTTATTATGTTGCACACTGAGACTCTCTCTGTGTGTGTGTGTGTGTGTGTGTAATGACAAGCAGACTGTCTGTGCTTTAGAAAATTAAATCACATTCATTCATTCCCTTGGTCTTGATACTACAAGTTGAATCAGTGATTTGCCCTCTTAGACACAAAGTTATGAACTAATTTCTGATTTATGTGGCACTCTAAGTTTCTATAAATAATACCATGGTATATGCAACAACAACAAAAAAAGACTGCTCAATTATGCTCTTTAGTCATATTATTTCTAATAATATTATTAAGTCATGACACTATGATTACAGTAACTTAATCTCAACCATCAGTGTATAGCAGTCATTAAAATAACATCAACTAATAATTAACTAACATCCAAGAAATTATAATTGTCAATAAACAAATCAACCAATGTAGGTTTTACAGAAGAATATTGTAAATACCTTTAATTAAATTCCTTGAAGCTACAGGAATAGCTTTGACAACTAAAGAAAATTGTCTATAAGAATAATCCAAATTAATTTCATCTTAAAATGATCATAACTTAACATATTACATTCTTCATACATTAAATGCATTAAATTCCAAACTCTTATGTAAGGAATATACACCTGTTATTCCAAATTACAACATCATGTGGAGTAAAAACATGAAAATCAGATAACTTAAAAGGCAGTTTTGATGGGTCAAAATCACATCTTAAAAGAAAGGAAATTCTTCCAACTCTTTGGAAAAGATGAACAGAAACACTAAACCATGAAGACTATTCATCTCTTACAAACATTTGTAAGCATCTTGACTTAATAACCCCGTTCATTACTCCAAAATCAATTACATTCAACCCTCCTTCCTCCGTTAACTTCACCATATCACCGAATCAAATCTTGCTTATTATTCCAAATAAAATCATAATGAATTCGGTTTATTTGCTTAATACACCTGTCTGGCACCACTAACGATGAATATGCTGGATAAATGAATTTTGCTATCTCTTCCATTTTTGTTAATAATAATTTCCCACAAGTTGAAATATTTCTTTGTAACCAGCTATGCAATTTTTTATTTTTTATCTTTGCAAAACATCTGTAATATTATTATCTTCCGTCGCTGAAATTTTTTGTAATAGTACGTGATCTTAATTTTGACTGGAATATTATAAAAAAAAAAAAAATGTTGTCTATTATCATGAAGTCTATTATCCATAAAGAACTTTTAATATCTGAAGAACCTTTCTGTTTCACAAAAGGTTATTTGTAGCGAAAGAAAGTTCTTCAGATTATAAAAAGGTAAGAAAGAGATGGTTCTTTAAAGAACCTTTGACTGAATGCTTCTTTGTGGAACCAAAAATGGTTCTATTCTTCTTCGCAGTGAAGAACCTTTTAAGCACCTTTATTTTTAAGAGTGTACCTACTCAATCAGTGTTGGCAACTTAGCAATTTTGTTGCTAGTTTAGCAACTTTTCACACTACCCTAGCAACTTTTTCCTCAAAAAGCACCTAGCAACAAATTTAGCTATTTTTAAAATGTATTTGGCAACTTTTAGCATCTGTGACTCAAATGATAAAAAGACACATTTTCCCTCTAAAAGAGGACACCAAAGGTATCTAGCAGTACACGTGTATCACGTGCTAGCTGCAGCTGTTCAATAATAATTGTTCATTATGATAACACCTTGTTATTAGTTTGTACCTGCGCTTGTTGATCAGTTAAAAAATATGTGAAAAAATGGAAAAGGTACTGGCAATTTTCTGCCAGGACATTATCTGTTAAGTTGTAACCTGAAAACACAAAATACAATGCATAATTCAAAAATCAACACAGAAAATTCCTTCAACTGAACACAGTACACTGTGCCCTATATTACAGTTTTCTTAAAGTGTGGTATAATATACACTGTTTAAAATATCATTGTTCAAGATGCATAAAATGTGATTGTTGTTAAACGTGTAAATGTTCAATAATTCAATGTTGTATTTAAAAATAATATTATTTATACTTTAATATTATATTTATTTTTTAGTTTTACTAACAAATCTAAATTAACATTTCAAATCATATTCATAATAATATTCTTTGCTGAGATTTAAGTGATCTGATTGTGTATTCTTCCATCTTTATTTGACCCTCTAACTCTAGCACTCTATTCTAATTCTATTCTTTAAAAAAAAAAAACTTGCCCCTTTTAGACTTGCACTCTATTTATTTACTAACTGCTTGTTTTCTTTAAAAAAAAAAACTAACACTAGCTTCTCTAATCTTTTTGTATTCTATCTGTTTATAGAATATACGATTCTATTGATCTATCTATCTGCTACGTGTATACTGCGTTAATCTGAGACTTGTTATAGCACTTGTATATCATTGCTCTTTTGCTGATTTTGATTGCTTCCATCGTCCTCATTTGTAAGTCGCTCTGGATAAAAGCGTCTATTAAATGACTAAATCTAAATGTAATCTATGCAGTTTTGTCTTGTGATTACATAATGGTGTCATCGCGCAATGACATCACAATGTCATTTAGCAACTTTCCCTGAAAATGAGTTGGCGACACTGTTCAGTTTAACACAGGAAGCATAGCCAGGGAATCCGAGAAGTGTCTGTCATGAACCTTTTGCACCTTTACGAGTGGATCGACATCAAAGGTGTTTGTATATCTTCTTGTGTGTTTTTATTGCTGAGTGATTATATCAGAAATAAAGCGCCGAAGAACTTTCCTCCTGGACCATGGTCTTTGCCGTTTATAGGAGACCTTCATCATATCGAACATGGTAGGATTCATCTTCAGTTCTCACAGGTAAATACATTTCCAGCTTATATCTAACTAAATAAATCTGAAAACGCAAAGTAGCGGTTAGTGACTGCAAACAGCGTCAATCACATCGAAAATGACTACGATACCGAAAATAAATAAACTGCTCGACATGAGCTTAATCAGCAAGCTATATCCACAACATAATGCTTTACATGATCTTAATCAGCAAGCTATATCCACAGCATAATGCTTTACATGATCTTAATCAGCAAGCTATATCCACAACATAATGCTTTACATGAGCTTAATCAGCAAGCTATATCCACAACATAAGTGCATTACAGTTACAGTTGCAAAAGCGATAAAGGGAAACCACTTGAACTTTGCTTTCTAGTCAGAATGGATAACTCGGTTGTGACGCAGCTGCTTAAAGAATGTTCCCAGAGCCTTGTATTTCTCATATTTAAATGGCAAATAATGAAATTTAGCATTAAAAGAGAGTTTTATTGTTTTGACTGTAGTAACCGAACACAACACACAGTTTAAATGCTGAATGCACGAGAACTTTATGCTGCTTTATAATGTTTTTGTGCCTTTTGTAGGGCTTCACAATAACATGTAATAGTATACGCACAATATCGGATTTGGATTGGTCTCGTCTGACTGATAACTGATCCGGCAGAAACTGGCAGTATCGGAGCCGATACCGATACTGAGTATCGGATCGGTGCATCCCTATTCAAAATTGCCCAACTTTGTTGTTTTACCTTTTTTGTAAAGGGCATTTGACTTTATTTGCACGTATGCTTTGTAAACACTGGGTCGGTACTTCCGCCTACATCACGCGTGACCTTTCCAACATGACTACGTAATGCATGAGGTCGGGCTGGTGCAAGACGAGCATTTGTGCTTAAAAAGTATATACATTTTTTCTTTTTTAGAAAATGGCTGACTTGTTTCTCTAGATAAGACCCTTATTCCTTGGCTGGGATCGTGTAGAGCCCTTTGAAGCTGCATTGAAACCACAATTTGAACCTTCAACCCGTTGGTCCACATTGAAATCCACTACATGGAGAAAAATCCTGGAATGTTTTCCTCAAAAATCTTAATTTCTTTTCGACTGAAGAAAGAATGACATAAACATCTTGGATTACATGGGGGTGAGTAAATTAGCAGGAAATTTTTATTCTGGAAGTGAGCTAATCGCTTAAGCAATAGTATTTTTGTACTAGACATTTATGTTTAGAACCAATTAGTTTAAGCATAATAAGAGTATGATTTTACTTTTGCAGGGCACAATAGTGACCGGCAATTTGACATCAGTGCTGTTTGATGAGTCCGAGTGGGAGACGCCTCACTGTTTTAACCCGGGTCACTTCCTGGATGCAGAGGGCCAATTTAGGAGAAGAGATGCCTTTTTACCTTTTTCTCTAGGTACAGGACAACGCTGTTTCCTTGAAAGTAATACAAAGATATAAGGGTGTTAGATATATATCGTCTACGAATATATCGTATTTGTTGTTTAAACGATACGCGATTTGACATTGAGTATATCACAAAAAACAAACAGAAACACACCCACAGAGTGCACACATACACTATGAGATGAAGGTTACACTGCTGCTAAAGGGTACGCTACTTCACACTTTGCGTTCACACTTGTAGTTTGGTTGACCTATATTTTGTGGCAGAACTCACCGAACATCCCAAACAATAGGTTTGTTCGGCTTAAATTGGTGCTGTGCAGACTGATTGGTGTAAAGTACCCATAGACCGATCGGTCTGCTCTGCTAAGTACACCTAATGAATGCACCTAATGCCGTGTGCAGGATTAAGTGCGCTTATTGTTGCCTGTATATATGATTTTATTTTTACCACCAGTGAACTCACAAAGAGCTCATAAAAGGCACTTTACCTCCTCGTTGCTCCATGTTTTCCCTCTGCTCATTTTGTTTTGGATACATCTCTCGTTCCGTGTCGTCAAATCATGTCGTATAGCATCACATCTTGTCATTGCATCCTGTTTTTGGTTCGTTTAGAAGTATTTGGTCCATGTTGCATTCATATTTAATTTCAACCACAAAGAGTTTGTTTGGAAGTGGACCGAGACCCATCTTTTTAGCGGTCTCAGTCCGCTTGTTTGGTGCGCGCCAGGGTTCGGATGGCAGCGTTCACACTTCGTTAAATGAACCGCACTAATAGAGCAATCGCACCAGAGTTTGTTTTAATCGAACCAAACACGACATGTGTGAACACACCATAAGTCTATTAAAATGCATTTAGAATTTGCCCAAAATTCGAGATAAGGGGGGCAGGTATGTCCCCGTGTTACTTTTATAGTTGTTCTATAATTTACATCTATATTTTTATAGGCTTATGTCGTCTATATTTATATCATCTGATACAGTTAATATCACAAGAAGAGTACAGTTTTTTCTCTACATATATCCGCACGATTGCAAATATGATATTGATTTTATAAATCAGTCCAATAAACAAGAAGTTAATATTAATTGACATACAAAAGTTGCTGTTTTTTTCTCTATTTCGTCAACAAAAGCCGAAGCAGAACTGTTTTGTGTCTCTGAGCGACTCACAACCATGTTTTGCTTTGTTGTTTAAATGAATCGGATGAATGAATGACTAAATGACTCACTCATGCAGTGATTTACCGCCACCTACTGGCGATGTTAGGTTTATATTTAAAGTATATTTTCCCTTTTTCCCCCCAAAATCATTTCAAATATCACTATTGAACGTTTTGTTTTAAAACGTCAAACATTTATGCATTTGTAACTGCAGGTTAAATGCATTCAATCATGTCATGCATTAAACAGTCTGCGTAAATGCATCTAAATGCCATTTAATTTGATTGGTAACAGCCCTCTAGTGTCTTACTATTTGAATTTATTGATTAAATTTAAGAATTTGGTACAAAAGATGATGCATACATTTCAGTAGGTTAGAAAACTGGCTTTATAAAGGTAAAAATGCCCATAAAAGGTAAAAATCAATTTAAACTTATTTGGAAAAGTTCATTTCTGTTACTCCTGCAAACTAACCACCGCACAGAATAAGAAGAATATCAAAAGCTTTGGGAGGCAGCTGTCCACGGCAGTCCTAAACCAGCCAGCACAATAACATGCTCAGCAAAATATTGTCTAATTATCGTCATTGACAAAATTTCAGAAAATATCGAGATATCATTTTTTTTGTCATTATTACACACCCCTAGTTGACAATTCTTTACAAGCCCGCATAAAAGGAAACCTATTGTGATTACCCATCATTTTTTTCTGATTTTCAGGAAAGAGAGTGTGTCTTGGGGAGCAACTGGCACGGATGGAGCTGTTCCTCTTCTTCTCCGCTCTGCTGCAGCGCTTCACTTTCTCTTCACCAGCGGGTGTGGAGCCCAGCTTGGATTTTAAACTGGGGGCCACTCACTCTCCCCAACCATATGAATTATGTGCAGTGCCACGCTAAAACAAGCAATGCATAAATCATTTTATGCATTTCAGTAATTAAAAAAAAAAAATGTTGTAAAAAAGAACCCAAAATGTGTGGGTCTTTGTGCAAACATGATGATGCATTTTAGCTTATTATTTGGTTGTTCGGATGTAGACTGGCAATTGGTTAGTTGGTTATTTGGTGGTTTAAATAATACAACAATATTTACAAATAAATCCACTGGAAAAAAGGATCATGAGTATAAGTCATAAAGGGGAACAAAATAAATCTATAAAAAGTGGTAAAATGTCTTAAATTCAGTTGTATCAAATTTAAGGTAAAAAAGTGCTATAATACCTTAATTATCATTTGAAAAGGTTTTAAATGTGGGGTCGGAAGAATCAAAATGTGGCCTATACTGTGATTTACTGTGAAGGCTCACTGTAAGAAATTCAACTTTCGAAAAGTTCTACTAACAAATGTAAAAAAGTAGCCTGAACAAAGAATTTTTAGTAGGAGAAGTCAGTTTAATTTTTTGTGTGAACCGAATAAAAATACACACGTCGCTAGCAAAAGTTTTGTTTACTTTACTTAGGTACTCAAGTATTTGTTCACAACATATCCAGATGTTCTCCCAACTTTTCAAATTTGAGTCATCTGAACAAACAATTTTACATTGAACAATATTGCACACCTTCCCAGCATGCATTGCAGCTTAAAAAAATTTGTTAATTATTAAAATATTATCATTGTTTTTCATTTCACTGGCTTAATTTATGCTGCTGCTGTTGTTACTGTCAGTTAGCTGTCATGTGGATCAGAGTTCATAGTTTTACTGATTGAGCATTTGTTGATCCGAATCGTGTGCTGAGGTATATGCATCTCATTGCAACTTCTGGATTTAATACATTCGTCTATCTGCATAAATGTTTGCCTTTAGTTTTAAGAGGCAAATACTACCCGTATTATGTAGTGGGCTTTGAAAAGAAACATAAATCTAAAAGAAGGAGGAATGTTAATTACTAAAAAATCTTTAGTTGATCTGACAGACCTTTTAAAGCAGCACTATGTAACTTTTGGCGCTCTAGCGGTTAATAAACAGAACTGCACGCATCCCGCGGAAGAACATTCCAACCGGAGCTACTTCTCTAAGTTTATGTCTATGGCGCTTCACGCAGGTATGTGTTACTCCGCAGCGGTGACGACCCGACCAGACTACTTGCCGCGGGTTGTTGTTCATATAGGACAATATCTGTCTGAGATACAACTATTTGAAAATCTGGAATCTGAGGATGAAAAAAATCTAAATATTGAGAAAATCATCTTTAAAGTTGTCCAAATGAAGTTCTTAGCAATGCATATTACTAATCAAAAATTACGTTTTGATATATTTACTCTATGAAATGTACTAAATATCTTAATGGAACATGATCTTTACTTAATATCCTAATGATTTTTGGCATAAAAGAAAAAGCAATAATTTTGACCCATACCATGTATTAGGGCTATTGCTACAAAAATACCCCAGCGACTTAAGACTGCTTTTGTGCTCCAGGGTCACATATGACTTATTAAACTCTGTTTTTTGCCTTAAACAGATGAGACTGAACTGCTGAAGGTTCCAGACGGCTGGAAGGAGCCCAAGTTCACCCCAGAAGACAATCGCAAAGGTCTGCTGGAGGAGAGCAGTTTCGCCACTCTTTTCCCCAAGTACAGAGAGGTGTATCTGAAGGAGTGCTGGCCGCTGGTGCATAAAGCTCTCGGAGATGTTGTGAGTGTTTTCTAAAAGCTTATGAGCTCTTTGAATTAGGTTATCTAATGTCCTTGAATCTGTGCTGCTGCTCTGTAGTTCATCAATGCCACACTGGACCTGATTGAAGGCAGTATGACGGTGAACACAACAAAGAAATAATTTGACCCCTATGCCATCCTCAGAGCGAGGGATCTCATCAGGTTATTGGCTAGAAGTGTGCTGTTTGAACAGGTAGGAGTTCATCACTAATTAATTGATCATATATATATTAGAAATAGTTCATAATAATTATTACGTTTTGAATATGGATATTTTTCTTACAAAAACGAACGATTCGCTACAGGGGGCCTTTGTTCACCCCCCGGAGCCGTGTGAATGAACTAACCCTTTAACAAACTTTTCTTTTGGTATCTTAATATTTTAGGCCCTACATAGTTCGTTTCCAGAGATACAGGGGTTTCATTATGGCTCCTTGAGTAAATTGTACACGTTTTTTCAGTGGTCAAAAACCAGATGTGGGTCACTTTGGATACGGCTGATGCTTTCTTGTACGGTAGATGAGTAATTGTGCGTGTGATTGAATATTTTCCAGACGTTAATGATCAAGCGAGAGCTGGCGAACGACCCGGAGCTGCGCACTCAGAGCTGGGAGAGATTCCTGCCCAACTTCCGCCATAAGAGTCTGTCCAAACGCAAGCAGCCCAAGAAGAAGATGGTGAAGAAGGAGTACACGCCGTTCCCTCCGCCGCAGCCCGAGAGCAAGGTACAGAGAAATCACATCAAATCATGTGCTGTGTTTTTAGACTCTAACACCCCCATAAACGTGGTAAAATCACTGTGGCCACTTTTTTTGCTTATAAAATGAGAACAGCTATAAAAGATATAAATGTAATGTAAATAATTCTTTAGCCTATTAATAGTTTGCTTTTGTTAGCAATGTTTGTTTTCTCTGTGAAGCACATTCACTGTGCAAAATTCGACACAAAAGGAATATTAATTAAAATAATAGGCAGATATCCAAAAAAAAAAAAAAAGGAAACGGCAACAGATTCTTATTCGGATCCAACTTGAAATGAGCACAGCTGCTTATTAAGATGTAGCTAAAAATCTATAAATATATTTATTTATAAATAAATAATTTGTAGATTTTATATTAGAAAATATAACATTTTACTTAATTCATAAATATTAAAATAACATTTAAAGGGGTCATAAGATCATTATTTTGTGTATTTGGTGTAACAGAATATGTTGACATGCTTTAATGTTCAAAACACACATTATTTTTCAAATACTGTACATTATTGTAGGTCCTCTATGCCCCGCCTCTCTCAAACGCTTCGTTTTCAACAAAGCCCCCTCCTTTGACAAGCGAAGGTCTGCTCAAATAATTTATAGATTTTTCATGATGAAATATTTTCTTAAATGTCTAAATAAGATTTATTAATATCAAGTTCACAATAAGTACATGCATTTAGATTATTAGTGTATTTTTGAGGACATTCTCAGATGTATAAACTACGATAATAATCAGGTATTTAAAAATAAAGAAATAAAAATGTCACTTTTAACAGTTCCCATTGCTCGTGAAATATTTTTTATATTCATAAACTAATGAATATCAAATATATAAAAACTATACATTTATTTAGAAATAAATATATATATTTATAAATATAAATGAATAAATGTATAGCTTTTCTATGATTAAATATTATTAAATAATTTACTTAATTCATAACATAAGTAAAATATTTCAATAATACTTAAACTCCAATTTATATTAAATACATATACTTGCATATTTTTTATTAAATCAATGTATTTTTGAGGACATCTCCAGACCTCAATATAAATCATATAAATTACAAGAGTAATCAGGCATCTAAAAATATAAATAAATGAAATGTTTACATTTAACAGTTGTCATTGCTCATGTGAAATATTTTTGTGCACAGATTGATAAGGAGCTGGCGACCGGCGAGTTCTTCCTGCGAGAGAGCGAGAAGAGACGCAAGAAGATGAATGAAATTAAGGTATGATGGTTTTTATGAGTTTTTAAAAGCTCAGATGCAGCGACTGGTGGGAATTAGTTTCCTCATAATAATGGCTTGTGCTTTATTTCCGGGGCCGAAGGCGAAACAGGCTGAAGCTTTATCCAAGAGACAAGAGCAGCGGCAGAAAGCTTTCACTCCTCCTAAAGAGAAGCCAGCCGTGAAGAAGAGCAAACCAGGTACAGCGTATGACGCCGGTGTCACTAAATACTTCACAATACAATATACATCCAGAAACATACGTCATACTTCAATATATATATATATTCATCATAAAAATACTAGCTGGTATGATTTTTAAACTGCAGCAAATTTGTAAGTGTGAAGTCCAGATCTAATATTGTATTATAATAATTAATAATAATAATAATTGTAATATTTAAAATAAAAATGTAAAAAAATTATGTAATCAATTAAATATTTTTAAAATTAATTTTTAAATTATTACTGTGTGTGTATATATATATATATAATAAAAGAATAAAAGGTGCTTCTATCCAGAGCAACTTATATTAATTATGCATTTTTTATGAATGTACTAATGAAAGTCTTTACTCACTACTAGTAATATTGGTTAGTAACATTCATTTTGGTAAAATTACTTTAAATGTGTGAATAATTCAGTTGAATAGGCATGCAAACATATGATATTTATTATTCTCTTCTTTTTAGTAACTGCCGAAAACAAAATTGATATTCAAGCCATTAAAGAAAAAGTGAAGAAAGCGAAAAGTAAAAAGCTCGGAGCTCCTCCTGTAAACCCCGAGACGCCTTCAGCGAAAGACTGCAAGCGGAAGAAAGTCTAGAGCTAATGCGCGCCGCTCGATCTGAACTCTGCTGATCTGACTGTGATCCTGGAGAAACACACTCAGATCATCACTGGATCGCCACCTTGTTGTAATATTGTGTTTATTAGTCAATGTGTTTATATAAAAGATGCTTGGTTTCAGATTTTGTCAGCGTCATTATAAAACCTGAATCATTTATTAGACTTTAGTTTGTAGAAGACGAGGAATAAGAGAGGTGGAGGTGTTTTGGATAAAGATGTCCTTCATGACGTGTTTTTTATTGTATTTTTATTCATATGACAATAATGCAAATGAAATGCACCATTTCACTCGTTTAAACTGGACAACCAGAGATACTAATTTACAAAATATCATCCAAAACATGTCCAGTTCATACTTCACACCATTTCAAGCCTCTTATATTTAATATTTTTATGGAATTTAAGCACATTTGTCCCAATAAATAAGTTATTTATAAACATATATATTATACATTTATTATTATCAGTACAAGTTATTTATAGATTTTATTAAATCTTAAATATTTTGCTTAATTTGTAAATTAAGTAAAATACTTAACATTTAATATTAAATCTATATATAATTTATTCATAAATATTGTACATCTAATATATTTTAATATTATTATAAATAGAAATAATTATAGATTTATATGATTATTAAATATTTTACTTACAAATTAAATAAAATATTTATTAAATATTTTACTTACGAGTTAAGTAATATATTTAGTGTTTATTCTTATATATATATATAAAATATAAAATATAATTTTGTTTACCTTTATAATGCATAATATAATTATTCAAAATATATGAATATCACCTGATTACCATGATGCATCCAGATGTTTTTGTTTCTCATTAGATTCTTATTACTGTATTATAATAACGTTTTTTTCTTTATTTGGAGTAAATTAAAATCAGTACATACAAATATAAACACTTTGTAATAAATAAAGTGACACTTTACACTACATTTAAATTGTTAACTTAATGCATAAAGTATTGTGAATTAAAAATGAGCGTTTTTACATCATTAAACTAAGTTAATGTTAAATTATAAAAACA